CCCAGTACTTCAGGCCAATCAGTCCTGAACAGAAACTTCCACAACTGTGAGCCAGAATAGAGCTTTGCTCTTCTAAGCTCATTATAGTGTTTATTTTGTTATGGCAATGGAGGCTACCTGATGCAGTACTAAATATTGTTTTTGCCTATGGGAGAATTTTACCCATAAACATCTATAACATAGAGTATAAATTAACAAATACAGGGGCTGGGGATTTAGCTCAGCGGCAAAAGCGCCTGCCTGGCAAGCACAAGGTCTTGAGTTCGGTTCCCAGTACCGGAGAAAAAACAAAAGCAAAACAAAAAAAAAAATACAGATGGCATTCTTTTGTGTTTTTTTCTGACCTTCCTTATATTCACCTTGAATTTTCAATACGAACTGCAAGTTATAACAAAGTTAAAAGTGAGTGATAATTTATCACTGGCATAAAAGTTCTTTATCAATATTTGCATGACTCTATTGTTAAAGGAATGGAATTATAAAATATCACAGTTAGATGTGATCTTTTCTGTTATCTAACCTGCAATTTTCAGTCTTGTGTATAAGGGAAAAATTACAGTCCGCAGAGGTCACATAACTTCTGCAAATAGTACTAGACAAAGAAGCAGATAGAGCAGTCCAACAATAGTTGTGGAAATCTTAGAGATGCCTTACTATATATGATATGTGGAATGTGGAATATATTGCTCATGATAAGTGGTATACATTCTGAGACCCAAGAGGCAGTTGTTATACTTGTACTACAATGCTTTTAACTGTTTTAATTTACTCTTCTAGTTGTGTACCCTAAGGACAAACCAAAACTCTTGGTGTAACTTTTACTGTTCTGGAGTATTTCAAGGTTTGAACAGGCACAACCCTGTCAGTTATAGCTTCAGTAAATTCCCATGGAATCTTTAAATAATGTCCTATTCACACACAGTGGAGCGTTGCTCTGCTAGAAAGAAGGACACATTTGAGTCACTTGTAGGAAAATGGATGCACCTTGAGACCGTAAAGTAAATGAAATAAATGAAACACACACACTTAATTATCACATGGCTCCTCTTATGTGAGAAACTCAAAGCCTATGTAAATCAAAGAGCAAAGTAAAAGATAATAGGAAACAGAGATAAAACTTTTGCAAATAGGAAAGAGAGCAGGAGATGGAGAGGTGAAGGGAAGTGTACACACAGTGAATTAAGGTGTGCCGAATACGTGTGCCAACTTCCCACGGGGAATGTAATCATTACGTACTGCAAACCTGACTTCAAAAAGAAAAGAATGAAAGAGTGTCCTACAGTAACATGAAGTTCTGCTTGGGAATCTGCTTGTGATCCTCCTTCTACTACTCTTTACTGGATTTATGACTTACTTGAGGTTTAGTAATTGTAATTTAAACTCAGCTGGAAGATAGACATTTCATTATGTTTCTTTTTAGTTCTTCCACCATCATGAATTTTAACTGTGGGGCCCAGCCTCCTGAATGTTGTCTCTGCAATGTTTTTCTTCATCACCAAATTGCAGTTCTTGTTTTTACAGAAGGGTCGCTCTTTTTCTTTCAGTTACATAGTTAATGACACTGATGCATGCATTATCTGTTACAAATCACTGCTCTCTGTGCTACTAATGGTTCGTATCTCCTCTTTAACTGAGGGTTTCTATTTGCTTTCAGGAGAAAAAGTGTGCACTAAGAACGTGGTTATAGGCCAATGAATCTTTTTTATATAATTTTATCCTAACAGGCTAATGAAATTGTGATGTGTATCATATAAATAATTTCAACTTTTATCAGACATACATTTTGTATAATGTAGCTTTTAATCATGTAGCTTTCAAGTTTTTTTTTAATAAAAGCAGTTCTATGAACAAATATAACTGGTAGCAAAAGTGTTCCTGAAAACTTTATAGTTTTCTTAGAGAAAAAATTACAAGATTAAAAAGTACGCATATTAATAATTTATGGAGCAATTTTGAGAAGATTTTTGATCTATAATTTTCTATTTTAACTGAGAGCCTATGCATTTGTTTCTTAAAATCAGGTACTTACTTACAAATATGTCCTTATAAGCCTATATTGCATCTTTATCTTCATCAGTATTATCTCTGAAGCAGTGGGTTAGTCTTTAGGGAGCGTTAATTGCTAGCTATCTCTTGGCTATGTAAAGGCACTCTTGGAACAAATATCATGTATTTAAGGGAATAAGGCCTGTGTTTATTTATGTATTTATTGCCCACTTTCCTTTGTGGAAATTATTTCTTTCTCCTTCCTCACCACCTGCTTTGGCGGCATCACACCATAGTTATGGGGGAGGGATACTCTTACATGTTAAAACTGCAGTGGTGACTGTCATTCAGGTGCTGAACCTATCCTTCTAATTTTCTTACGACGGAAATGGAATCTTCTTTCTTTCTTTTCTTCTTAATAGGACAACAGCCTTCACTTTTGAATTACACAAATTTGGGTAGATGGAGGTCACTGGCCTCATTTTTGGGTGAGATTGAGATGTGAAATAATTGCTATGCTTTTTGTTTGTATATTTATGTAAAATAAGCCATTTCAAAATGTAAGGCAAATGTTATGGATTATCTTATTAAATGTGTCCAGCTGATTTAGGATATAACTCCCACTATTTAATAGTGGTATATATAATTTTTTTCTTTTCATGAGAATAAAAACACAGAGGTACATGAGAACAGCACATAATTTGACTTGCCAAAGGAAAATTAAAGATCTTTTAAACCTTGTAATTTACACTTGGCCACTTATTTCCAGATAGTTCCTGCATACATACACATAAACAGACTTATCATATTTAAATTGTTATTTTAAATATTCAGTAAAAGTGCCTAACTCAACTTCAAAAGGATGTTTTACTTGCGATTGATATGTAAGACAGAATAAATAACAAACTTCTCCAGCTAAATTAAAGGGAAGAAAATTAGAAAGTATAAAAGAAATAATTAAAATGCTATTTCATATCTGTGTCTCAGTTTCTCTCACTAACATTTTATTCTTTAATAGGTATTGTAAAATAGACACTTCCTAAAATTACAATTTAGGACTAATTGATTTCACTATTTTTACTATTTTGAAAAACATTCTATTTTTCATTCAGATTGTTATTTGTTTAATGTTATTTAATTCACATAAGACAATTAAAGTATGAAACTGATTCACTGAGATACAACAAAAGGAAAAATAAAGGAAAGAAAGCATGGGTTTTCCAGCTGGAGGGACTTCAGTTTGGACCACCAACCACGGCCTTGTGGGTTAGAAGGCCGAAGCCAGTTAATCTGTCTGAACTTCAGTTTCTGATCATTAAAATATGGATTCACAAGAGTTGCTGTGAGGATAAACTAGTAAAGATATATGTAACATGTGTGGCATAGGTAGTTATCAGTAATGGCTACCACTTAATGTGGCTTACTCTGAGCTATATATGATACTAAATTTTTATACATTTGTAAATTTAATTCTTATAGCATTTCTTTTTAATACTGCAAAGAGAACTGAAATGCTTCAGTCAATGCTATAATGGGTTATTTTTATCCCATTTGACAGATAAGGAAGTAAAGAACAGAAGTGTTAAGTTATACAAAGCTACACAAATCTTAAATGACGAGAAGAATTCTAATTGGAATTCACCTGTTTGTTGTCTATTGCTGTATAATGAACCATCCACATTTAACAGCTTAAAATAAACACTTTATTCTGTTTTATGATTCTACTGATTGGCTGGACTGAGCTGCACGGTTTCTTTACCACAGCCACAGCCGTTTGATGGTGGTGGTGGTGGTGGGGACTAAAGGTGGGGCATAATATCTGAGAAGGCCCATGTATGAGACTGCCGTTCAGCGCTCTCTACTGGGAGCTCAGCTAGGGCTGCTGACCAGAGCACCTCAGCTCCCTTCGCAGTGCTGCTGCGGCCTTGTCATGTGGACTTGCCTTCACTGGGCAGGGAGTCTGGGTTCCAGGAAGAAGCAATGTTACAGGACAAGCTGTAATATGCAGATATTAAAAGGCCTCCACTTGCATTGTACTGGCTTATGTCCCACTGGCCAAGGTTAACACACACACACAGAAACTCACAGTCAGTGTGAGAGAAAACTCCACAAGGGATGAATACTGAAAAGTCCCATTCAGCCCAGAGGAAGCCCACTGTGCCCCTATCATCAAGAGCACTCTTTCCTGCTTTGGACACAGTGTGGCCGTGGGTAATCTGCTCCTGTGGCAGCATGTTGGCCCAGGCCTTCTGGGAAGGATTTAGGCATTTCGGACACACTCAAGTGCATGAGTGTAGTACACTTCTGTACTTTCCTGCTTCCAAATACGACATAAAATTTCAACTTCCTACAAATGGTATTTAGAAATTTCAGTTCTATAAAAAGATACTTCTTTCAAGGATCTTAATTTTTATCAAATTTTAAATGCCATTTTGTTTTGGGGTTTACATATTTAATTCATTACTGAATAAAATAAGAAATACAGCTACATTTCACACCTTATTACTCAACTAAAAGTAAATACATAGCAGGATTTTTAATTTAGAAAGTATAATTCTTTTGCATTTTTATCAATTAGAATGATGTATTTTTAATGGTATTTATTTTTAATGGTATCTTCATACTGAACTTTTTTTGTTGAAATATTTTACTCCATATAAAGCATTTTATATCTGTATATGAAATTTGTTTCTAAACAGTAGTATTTAACCTGAAGGACCCAATGTATTGAAACTGTTCCTTTTATTTTATTGATATTTAGAAAAAGTATGACCATTTATTCTTGACTTACTAACTTCAGCTGAATTAGCAGGCTGTATAGGTGACAAGGTTTCAAAGCTATTTGGCTACCAGTGCAAACTCTGAGTGTCATAGCCTAGAATCAAGGCTCTGAGGGGTGGAGTCAGCAAATAATATCTCAACAACGTTACTCCTTTGATGACTGTGGTACTGTTATGAAGTTTCTAAACGAATTCAGATGGACACATGAAGAAGTACAAAAACCAGAAACTCACTTTTTGTGACCACACCTTCCAGGCGAATGATGTTTGGGTGGTCAAACTGGCCCATGATGCTCGCTTCTCTCAGAAAATCTCTTCTCTGCCGATCCATGTGGCCACCTTTCAAAGTTTTAATGGCGACTGGGATTTCTCTTTTCCCTGGTGTCTTCAAACGCCCACTACAGACTTCTCCAAATTCACCTTAATATGAACAAAAGCAGTTGTTTGTTTAAATAGAATATTTGTATTTCAAAAAAATAAAATTGTCACTGTTACTCTTAAAAAAATAAGAATGTGACTGTCAATTGTGTCATTTTCACATGAAAATGTCTTTCTAAAACTCAAGTTTGTATGGACAATATGCTTGACCAACAGCATTTATTCATTACTGTTGTGGCTGTCTGTAGATGGCCCCCAAAACCTCATGTGGTCATGGGTGTGGCATTTTCAGAGGTGGCTGGATCTAGGCTGTCTGATGCTGGGATTGATTCATGGTGCCATGCTAGGATCAAGTGCACTAGAATTAAGGCTGTAAGTGCTACCCACCCTATGTAGTTTGGATAAGGTATGAAAGATAGAAAAAACTGTGATTGTCCTTTGTTGCTTTGCTACCTGCTCCTGACCCCAAACTGTTTCTCCTTTGTGATGCCTGTCTGCCATGCCAGTCTTCCTTGGAGCCAGCCCATGATAGACTGAAACCTCCACAAATTGTGCGCCAAATAAATCTTTCCTCCTTTAACTTTGGGTGTCAGGTATTTTATTTCAACAAGACATCAGAGAAGAGTAACTAGAACAATTACTGTGTCGTTATTCATTAATAATGAAATGCATTTTCATGTGCTACATCATAGGAGCTATCATTGAGTGATATCTCTGATTTGTTAAAAAATTTTGATTAACAGAGTGGGTAATACTAATGTAATTCTATGGGAAAATGATCACTGCAAATCATTTCCTCCTCCTGTTCTCAATTCTAATACATAAAGCAAATGCCTGTTCCATTCAGGGAATCCATAAGGTTTAGGTGATTTTGTTCCCCAGGTCATAATATCTGGGTTCACTGACCATTTAAAATTGATGCTAGTGTCAATTAATATATGAATATATCAAAAAATCTCTCAAACTCAACAATAGGAAGTGATTACACAAGCTAAATTGCAAGCCACATAGATAGAGCTGCAAACACAATACATTATGTTTTTCTCCTAGTTTCTTTGGTTGTATAAACAATAACCAAATATTTATTTAGCATAATTTAGTATGTGTATATTCCAGTGTTAACTTTCTCTTAATTCCCAAGAAGTATAAAATGTCATGTCTGTTCTACTGAGCTTATAGCTTAGTAGGAAATTTTAGATGAACATAAATAAAATGCCTCAGAATCAATCACTATAAATGCTGCATTTGTTAAGCAAGAACAGTGGGGCCAAAAAAACTTCTTGAATGACACAGAACTCATGCTGGCCTATGAACAATGAGTGAGATTAGGAAACTTAAGAGAATTAGACACATTCAAAGCAGCAGTCCCTGTAGGGAATAAAAAAAAGTGAAGACAAATCCTCCAGGGTCAACAACACTAGAGTGATGGGGACACAGAAGGTCATACTCTCTCTCAGGGCAGTGAACACATTCAACAAAGCTTCAAGCTCCAGACTCCTCATTTTTCAGGACCAATTGTCTGCATTTACTTAAGATATGACATTTGATCTTTTTTCTTTTCATATGTAAGGTGAGCAAGATAAATTTTCACAATTCACAATTCACTTTTCACAATTCTACCATGTTGTTTTCTTGCGGGGATATTGGGACCATCAAACATCAGCATATTGCTTATGTGCAAGTACTTATAAATGGAGAAGTGCATAAAGTTTCTAAAGTTAATTTATTTAAAATTTTTAAGGGTAAAAGTAATGAAAATTAAATATCTTCCAGTTGTTTATTAGTTATCAGCTATAACCTATTGTTGGGTACAATGTAAGTTTAAATGTACAGGGTCAAAATTTTACTCTGCCATAGATATCAATTTTCGATGCTTTCTTTGAATCAGTTCATCATAGTCAACTAAATGTTGACCATACATGAATAGCAATTATCTTTTGGTAAAGATACTAGTTTTCTTTGTGTAAAAACAACTAGGAAGTAAATAATACAAAATTTTGCTTCCTAAAAATTATTTGTACACATGTTCATCAGAAATGGAAAAGTCTAGTAAGACAAGACTATTGCTGTTAGAATTCAGTGCATAAGATCTGTGTGTTTTATAAACCTGGCATAGACTGGCTTTTAAAGGCAAAAATAATACTTATAACTTAATAATGCTCCCAACCTGTTGGGTCTAGATATTTGTATTGTACCAAAATATGAAGCTTAGATTTTAAATTCTGTTTGTAGTAACACTTGTTTTTTTTTTAAATTCACTCTATATAAAACAATAAAAATGACAAGAAAATTTCAACATTTTTCTACTGAGATTCTGTAGGTAGAGAAAAATGGTGTCTGTATATATTTAAACTCATGTCAGATATCTCTAATCCTATTAAGATACTTGAAATTAATCCACTAATCAATGTTTTTCCTAATGGATATCCAAAACAATACAGATATTTGTATTTTGATTCTGCTTTTCATTTTTTGCCTTAAAAGTCTGCTAGAATTTGTAATGATTTGGAAATATTTTCTAACCCAGCACCTGGCATGAATTCACAATCCATGTGATTTTTCTATTTGCATTTCATGGGAAGTCAAACTTTTGAATATAATGAAATAAATGGGGACTCCGTTGGTATTTTATCAAGATAGTCATAGTGGTAATTTGCTTTGGTTTTCTGTTGTCTAAAATTCATGTATCTTATTAACACCAAGCAGGTGTTTTCTTCATGTAAAGATTTGCAAGAGCTAGCTGTTATCACACTTATTTCATTGGCACTAAATAAGGCTGTTTCAATTAAAGACCTGAGATTCGTAGTGCATTCTTTTTTTTCCTAGTGAGTTCTTTAGACAAAGTCCAAAAAGCTAAGTCACTGAATTAATTAAAATCTATCCTCAGTAGGCATGGGTGTATCAGATATATCAGGAAGACAGGAAAACATATTTTAAGTTAAATGTAAAATTTCAGATACTGCTGAGAACTGATCCATTATGTTATCAGAGGCCCTGTGCACAGCTTGGGTTATAGGAATACAGTGTTAAGTACTTTATCTCCTTTACAACACATGGTTGCAATCATTAGTACAATGCTAGAGCTTATGTAGTGCTTATCATGTGCTAAGTCTAAGAACTTAATATATATTTTAATTCCCACAGCAAACCTTTGAAATAGTTACTATTTTATTGATAGATGAGAAAACGTGATCCAAAGAGAGCATGATCTAAGGAGCTGGCCTACAGTGAGCTTGTCCAGTAGACAGTAGCGTGTCTAGTAAGTGGAGGAGCTCGCCTTTGAATCTAGCTTACCTGGTTCCAGAGTCCTTCGTGTATCCACAATTCTCTCTTGTCTGGGCTATTTATCACTGTTAGTACCTTCTTGTGTTAATATGCTAAATTCTCCTTTGATAACAATGTCTTCAAGCCAACTCTTGTATAGAGCTGGATATGGACAGGTGAATAGAATGATAAAGCCATATCCTAAGAACCCTTCACTGTTAAATGGCAATGAAATACAGCTAAAATATGTTGTATGCTAGTGACCTTCTGCCACTGACAGTGCATTCACTAGCTAACAGCCCTGGTTGTCTCCCTCGACAGTGGTAAAAACTTTCCGGATAAGAAAGCTTGCTGTATAACATATAGGATCATATTAAAATATCAATGAGCATCAGCTTTTTCATGTAGGTCCTATATAATTGAACTCAAACTGTGAGGACAGGGTGGGAGCAGGGAGGTGCTGTCTGGAGGACGGCTTTCTGAAATGTGATTCCTTGTTTTCTGAGAGTCTAATTCTCCCACACCTCCAACCCCTAAGTGTCAGAAAAGCAAAGATCCATCCTCTTAACTCTAATGATACTCATGTCTGCCAACTCCGATGACACATTTCTCTCACCACACTTGTTTCCACCCAATAGGAGCAGTCTCCACTGCAAGTTGTCTCCTCTTCTCTCCTCCCCTGTCTACATCCTGAGCAATCACTGTTCATATGGATTTTTTCCTTTTGTGGTACTAGGCCAGGGCCTCACACATCACCGAGCTGTATCCTCAGTTCAGGGATAGCTTCTTATTAGCAGTAAAGGCTGAGCTTTAATGTGTCTTTGAAAGAAAGCTTCCCACAGCTCTCTTTCCATAGAACTTATCCTGCTACCAGCAGCCTGTCCAGCTTGAAAGGAAGAAAGGAAGAAAAAAGAAAGAAAGAAAAAATGAAAGATGCTCTAACTTTGAACAGCTGGCCTGGATTTCAGAGTTGGGCTATTTTATTTTCCTATTAGATATAATACTAACCTCAGACGAAACTATTCTGAAGACATGATAAAATGAGATACAGTAGGGCCAATTCATAATTTTATTTAAGCTCAGACAGAGGCAAGGTCACTGTGCTACTCCAAATAGCATACATCCTTGTCTGTTGGCTAAAATGAACGCTACTTAAAAACAATTAATAGTTTTATTCTTTATTCTTGTTCTAGTCTACCTTCCCCAACATCTAAGACTTACTAAGATACTGTGATATAAATCCTTAAGTTAGGGCTCAATATTTTGTGATGCTTCAGTAGCTGGAGGAACCTGACAGGGGCTGATGTAGGCCTATTGTAAGTTCTCCTCTCCAATCTGCTCTTGCAGATAAGGTCTCCTAGCCAAATAGTCCTCCTTATCCAACAAAGTGGGTGTAGGCCCTCCTTATCCTTAAGTAGCTATGACAGCCTGGGGAATGATTCACACCTGGAATCAGGGTTGTTCCTCCTCCTTGATACCACAAAGCATGCATCCTACAGCCCTGCTTGTTCACTCTGTTCCCAAGCTTAACTCCTATGTGGCGTGAATGATGTGTGCTGTCTCCTCCCTTGAGCTGTGATATATATGACTAAAAAATATTGTGTCATCTGTCCAATGTTAAGTGTGGTGTGTTTGGGCATGCCTATAATACTAGGATGAGAATCTCTCCTTCACCAACAGGGTGGATAGGAGGCCATTAAGAAACATATCTAGTTGGTGATAATACCAAGTTGGTAGAAGAAGTGGCCACCTGTTCATATTCCCCCTCAACAAAAAGA